CGAAGAGGTCGGCATTCTCGCGGAGGCAGGCTTGGAGCTGACGTTTCGCGAGGTCTGGGAGTCCTGCGCCTATCCTCACGGTTCTGCTCGTGTCTTCCCCGAGGGGAATGAGCTCGAATTCTCCATCCGGGATGGGGCGCGCTGGGTGTGGGGGCTGCCCGTTGACTTCGTCGGTCTTTGCTTTATTGTCGAGCTCGTCGGTGAAGCAACTGTCGAGCTCAACGGATCCGACCAGCTCTGTTGGTTTGTCCTTTGGTGTAGCGCTTGACGCTTTCTTTTTGATCGGTGGAGCGATGGAGTCGAGGCCTTTCAGCGCGGCTTCGAAACATCTTTGGGCAGCTTCGATGTCTCCGTTGAGGGTGACCACGGCTCCCCTTCTCGTGTAATATTTCATCTTCAGGTGGACGGTGGAGGGTACCGCGGTGAGTTCTGCTATCGTCGTCCTGCCCAGGATGCAGTTATAGAGGGACGGGCATTCGATGACTAAGAAGCGGACGCTGATGTCCCTGGCCGTTTCCTCTTCTCCGAAGGTGACTTTCAATTCCACGTATCCCCAAGGTCTCGTCGTCGTCCCGTTAAACCCCTGGAGGTCGGAGCCTACGTAGGGGGAGAGGTTGGATTCGTCGAGCTGGAGAGTTGTGAACAGATGTGAGTACATTATGTCAACCGAGCTCCCGCCGTCGACGAGGAGGCGCCTGACGTCGAAGTTTGCCATTCGGGCACGTATGAGCAAGGGTATGTTGGAATTGGGAGATCCCCCGGGTAGTTCCTCGAGGTAAAATGTGATCGGGTTGGAGCGGCCCCGGAATTTGTCGAGCGTGCTCATCTTGCCGGAGTTGCTCGCGATGAGTTCGTCGAATTTCCTTTTCACAGATCCTATGGATAGACTCCTCGTGGCTCCATCAGAGATGACCATGGCTCTGGGGAAGTATTCCCATCGGCTGGTTGGTCGGATTGGCTCGTCGACTAGGCTGGGTCCTTCGGGGATGCCGAATTCTCTGCTCGCGAACCAATCCTCGGGGCGGCTGACGCACAACGCGACCTGGAGTCTGCCGCTGTCCTCTGGAGAGGGGAGTTCCTCGATTTTCTTAGCTTCCGGAGCCTCTGACCTGGGTGGTTCACCTCCTCGGGTGTATCGCTTTAGGTGCCCGTCTTTGATTAGGATTTCGATCGCATCTTTGAGATGGATGCAGTCTTCCGTCACGTGCCCGTGGGTCCTGTGGAATCGGCAGTATTTTGACTTGTCCACGTTGGGTTTGGGCGGCGTTGGTCGCGGAAAACGGACACCTCCCTGAATAAACTCGGTTTTAACGCATTCGGCCAGTATGCGTTCGCGTGAAGCGACCAAGGCTGTGTACTCTGTGAATCTTCCTGCCGGGCCGCGTGGTTCGCGTTGTTCGCGGGGCTCGTGGGGGCGGTCTTCCCGACGGCGGTCCCCTCCTCGTCGATGGCTCGAAGCTCCGTCGTCTCGGTGCCCGCGGGGGGCCTCTCTGTCTCGAGTGTCGCGAGCGGAGTTGGCCGCTTGTGTTTCCTCGAACCGGATGTAATGCGCGGCTCTGTCGAGGAAATCTTGGAGGGACGTGGGCCGGTGTATGCCTACGGCCTCGTAGAATTTGGAGTCGTGGCGCAGGCCTTGTTCCATTAAGTAGCGTTTCATTTCGTCGGAAGTTGTCACCTGCACGGCTTCCCGAGTAAACCTTTCGATGTATTTTCGGAGGGGTTCGTCGGGGCCTTGGATGATTGCCCCGAGGACTGCTTCCGTCTTCGGGTGACGTCGAGACGCCGTGAAGTGTTTGGAGAACAGGTCCTTCAAGACCCTCCACGACGTAACTGATTCGGGCTCCAGACTTTTGTACCAGGTCATAGCGCCTTTCCTCAGAGTCGTCGGGAAGAGTCTGCATTTGATAGCTCCCCGGACGTTTCGGTAGTCGAGCATAGCCTCGATATCTTCCAGGTGATCGTCCGGGTCGGAGGTGCTGTCGTATGTCGACAGCGTCGGTGGTTTCTCCATCCCCTGGGGTATGGGGGCTGCCATGATCTCCCGGGATAGCGGGGTGCGGTAGTCATCCTCGTCGCTGTGCGCCGGGGATCTGTGGGGAGATGAGCCGTTCACGGTGTGCCCCGGGTTTCAGGTCCTCGATCTCCTGCCTGAGTTCTCGCCTTGGGGTTCCTCGGTTGGGATCGCCGCGGCGTTCTGGTTCCTCCCGCGACCGTGTCTCGCCGGGGATCTGGTGCGTTCTCGTGTCGCCTGCGGGCGGTGTCTCTCCAGCCGTGGTCGGCGGTTCCTGGGTCGAGGTGAGGGGCTCCTCGAACCTCCGTTCTGGTTTTCCCGCTGGGGGTATCTCGGAGGGTCGATGCGTTCTAATGCTCCAATTCTCGCATTTTGTTGGAACAGCAGCTGGTTCGTCTGGTTGATGGCTGTAAAGAGAGCGGCCACCGTCGGGTCTGCTCCCGCCGGGATGGGAACGGGGTGGAATGCTGGCGGGCTCGGGGGGCGGTGGTCGGCCTGTAGGAGCCGTTCCTCGGATGATGGTGAAGCAGTTTTCCCGTCCCTTTCATCGGCTTCCGTCGGACGTGCCGTTCCTGTCTGCTTCCCGTTGGTGGCGACGTTGAGCGCAAGGTCGTGCGGAGTGTCATCGCGGCGTGGGCTAGCCATGATCGTGGAGGTTTGGTGAAACTTTTGGTTTTCTGCTCGGAGTAACGGGGAAGTTTCAGGTTCCCACAGACGGCGCCACTGATCTGACCTGATCAGGAGGGGATCACGGACTGGCCACACTCTGTTGGGGGTGCTACCTGTTCACCGGGGTGAGAAAGAGGAGGGGGGTGTACTTGCAAGACACTCCGATGCCCAAGTAAGAAGTGGGACAGAGAGGAAGCAATAGTACAGAAAAAGGGGCAAGAAGAGTTACCTGACCCTCTTGAAGAAGAGGGTATTTATTGAGAGACCCCAGCGCTGGGCCAACGGTCATTCGAGGTGGGCTGGATGACCAGGCCCAACCCTAATGACTGCTAGGGCTTACGTGGCGTAGTGAAGACCAGGACGTGGTCTTCGCCATAGTTCAACTGCTCCTAGATCCCCGGAAAGTGGGTTTGACCTGCTCTTTCGGAGGTGGGCAGCTGGCCGGTGACGTGTCCCCGCGGAGGGGAGCACGTGGAGAACATGCGCCGAGCACGTTATTCTCCCCGCGGAGGGGAGCCCGGGCGGTTCTGCCCGTCCGGCGTGGTGGACGACAAAAAGGGTGTGGAGACGTAGCTTGTGTTCGGCAGCTTGCCCTGCTCGTCTCGAAGGGGGTGCGTGCCTGGCGTGCCCGGTTCGCTTGTTGGGCCGCACGCGGTATTGGGCCTGCCGAGGTTAGGCCCATACCGGAACACAATTGAATTAAGTTGGTTCTTCTATAGAAAAAAGAATTGATTGGAGGTAGACATTCTCTCTCTCCGATTATTTAGGCAATGTTGTAGAGCTTCCTATGTGAATAATCGTCTTCCGTGAATGAACTTGAATTTAATTCGCCACATATTTTTCACAATAATTTAGAATAAAATGATTGATTGAGTGTAGACCTTCTCCTTCCTCAAATGATTGGACACTGATGTAGAGCTTCCTGTCTAAATACTCATCTCCAGACTAAAAACAATCTTTACATGACATCAAACTCTATTTTTTTCTTAGAGAAAACGTCAATAAAATAAACTTTTCACAAACGAGCATGTTATATCTGTTCTATCGCAATACAAACGAACGTTAAGCCTCCCGTGCGCGAGCAAACAAGCAACGTTTAACTACTAGAATGTGGTCTTAACATCGTTCAATAAAATCAACCAACAAACACTTATTTTTTACCACGAACTATGTGCTATGATTTTCTCATTACTCCATGAGAATACGTAGGCACGAGATTTTGAAATTTTGCCGAGCACATTAATTAAAAACTTATTTTTCCCCTTAATTAAGACTTTTTATAAGAAATCAGATAATAAATCAGTAATCACAACTAACTTTTAGTTAACACCCATATACGCAAAACTATCAAAACGGTTCCCGTTGAGTACAACCGATGTGGGGGGTACTAATAGCTTTCCCTTACATAACCAACTCCTGAATCCGCTCTTGGTTGCGATGACAATTCATTTTCCTTTTCTTTCGTGGGGCTTTATCAATATTTTCTCTTTTCATCTGAATAAATAAAGTTCGGTGAAGACTCTGTTCTTATTTCGAGTGTTCCTCACACTCAATCATTTTTCACAGTGCGACAATAATCTTAAAAAAAAAATAGGTCACTTTGTTGACTTTTTTATTTTAATTAACACATTTAAAATGTTAAATTATTGTATAAAATACAACTTTAACAAAAATTTAAACAAAATTATATCAAAATTAATGGATAAAATAACTAAGGGGCACTACCATACAAACTAGTACAGAATATCAGTGTTCCAATCTGAGTCTGCTTTGATATGTGAAGCACAACAAAACAATACATTTTTGAATTTTACAAAAGTCATGACAAAAAGAATTCTAACTTTATTTAATTTAAGATATTTTTTGTGATTTAGAAAAAATAAATTAATTTAATTTTTATTTTAAATAGAGATGTCCAAAATATAGATTTGACTAAAATCATATTAATAATATGTTTAAAATATGAATTTAATTAAAATTATTCTAATAACTAATCAATTTTTAATAACTAAATTTCAATATAAATATGAATAGTCCAAATTAATAATCGATTAATTTGAACTACACGTTCATTATAGTGTAAATATAAATAACAATATTATGATAACTCTTATTTAGTTAATGCAAAAATTTGAATATTTAATCTTTAATTGAATTAACTTTAGATTATAATCTTTAATTGAATACTCGAGCATCTAAAATCCACAAATTTATTTTAATATGACAATGTTGTTTCTGGTGTATGCATTTCATAGACAATAAACACTAGAATTTAGAATCTAATTAATAAACACTGATGATAAGAGATTTTATTGTTTAATTAAGCCGTAGGGTAAAAAATGTTCATTAAGCAAGACCAAGTTCCTGTCACTGCAATCACAATCCCAAACAGCACAATTGCTCCATCCCAAACCAAACATCTCCAACCCAATTCATCTTTAAACACCAAAAAGTGAAACAAAGCAGGAAACACAAAGCTAAGAAAAACACAAAAGCTACTCCCAACAAGTGACAAAAAATCAGCAAAATTAGGCACCAAAAATGCCACCAAAGTTACCATCAAAACCAACAACCACCTAAGCCACAAACAATACTTAGAATCACACAATCTTCTCTCCACAACTTCATAAACTGGATTCATCATAACTGGAAAAGTAAAAAATAAGTTAACACAAAGACCCAATTGAACCAAAACACTCACCATTCCTTGCCCTAGATTAGTAGTAATAATCGCTTGAGTTTCTTCGCCAAAAGCAATGTAACCTAAAACACCAAACGCTCCAAACAAGAAAGAAATGATTATCATTCCAATACCCAAAACACCACCAAATTTATCTTTTTCTTTAGATTCTGATTCCAAAGGAAAAACCATTCCAATTCCTTCAAAAGCATAAACAGACACACCTAAACCGTATAGAAAAACCGATAAACCGCCAAAAGTCTTCAAAGGTGGTCTATTTTCCAAAAAGATAAAAACATCCTTAATCATCACAACTCCCATAGCTCCAATATCAACCACATCAGCAAATATACTCAAAGGAGCCATATGAGTCAAACTTGGAATTGCATTCAGACCCAGTTGAAAAGGAAAACAAACCCAAATAAACAAAACCTTTGGTGGGAAGCCCAATGAAGATGACCATGTTGTTGAACTTGTGCTGTTATTAGAAAGATATACCAAAGTAGTTGAAATGAAAATGAGGTAGCTAACACAAAAGCCGGCTTGTGTAAGGACAATCATCATATCAATGCAAATTCTTCCAAAAGGGCCACTTGTTGCATAACCTAAATCACCAAAAGAATTGATTTTAGCGAACATCGCGGTTGATTCGAGCCTGCGACGAGTTTGAATGAGGAGCATCATGCAGTAGTAAGTTAGGAAAGCCACGAAGAATAGCGTAAGCAAACCCATGATCCATCCTGTTTTTTTGAAACTATAAGGGAGACCAAGGACACCGGCACCTACAATAGAAATGAAGATGTTTGCAAAGGTTTTGAATTTGGATGAGAGAGGGGGTGCATTTGAAAGAAGAGGGGTGTGCTCTTCTTCCAACCCCATTTTTGTGTGCTTCTTCTGCAAATAGATATTTTGACGATGGTTTATTGCAGAAGAAGCAACAACAAAAATGGAGAAATGCAAAAGTGAGAGGAAAAAAAATTGTTTTGAGGGAATTAGAAAAGAGGATGTGGTGTCACCTTAAGTTAAGGTTTGGAAAATGCTAATATAGAAAGTAAATAATAAAGGGTTATAAAGAACAACATTAATCATTGGCTTATATTTAGACATGCATAGCATTTCATTCATATATCTTCAATGGTAAAATAAAAGTAAATAATTTAGACATGCATAGCATTTTAGAAAGCATATGTCATTGTACGCCATTATTCAAGGTAAAAAGTAAGAGTGACAAAATGGATAAGGTCTGTTCGGTCGACTCGTTTAATCCATCATTTTTTACGCAATAACATACACTTGAAGATTCGAGATGGTTAAAATTAAAATCTAAGAAAATCATGGATGACTTTGGGATAGGAATCGATGTGATTCAACTACAATGAATGCCAATTGAATCTCAATCAGCCTTTCTGTCGCCATCATCTCTGTTCAAGTTCTGATATGTTGCCAGATAGCTTTCTGTTATTATTCTGAATGCCGATGCCCCTATTCGTTAGTGAATATAGATATTCAACTATTAATAACAAACAATTTAAATAGCAACTTGCTACAATGTAGAATTTACCTCATGCACAACAACTATATATGAACTAATTTGTACTTACATGATATAGAGGTCTTAATTTAAACAAATAAGTTAATTATTTTTTATACCTATGAAACGATTGCTACTGGGGGCTGGGAGTTAGCACTAATCATATGAGAAGATAGTGTGACAAATGCATGCAAAAGAAATTGCACGAGTCTATCGAAAGAGACAAACTACTATTCCGTTTAAGCCTTCAAATTCAGGTAATCCCTTTCTTAATCCTGGTACTAGATACTCTAACAAAAAGATCGAGGAAAATAATTTCAACTACTATTATGTTTCATGAGTATCTTTTCAGTATTGTTGATGATGACGTTTGGATGTGGGGTTTCTAATATGCAAACCCAGATTTTCATAAGGTTACTCATGAAACAGTAAGAAGTGATTGTGTGGCATTATTTGAGAAGGAGATTTTCATAATGCCACACAATTTGAAGAAATATTTCATAATGATGAGTATGCAACTCTATATTAGAGTCTTCTTCTGGTGTTAATTTGGATAGTAATAATCTATCATCATCCCAAGTGAATGTTGCACCTATAAGAATTGAATTTGATGAAATTATAAGAATTATTCAGAAAAATGAAGTCATTCCTCCAATAAAATTAAAATTGCAAGATTATCTTGATTGAGATATTTACATTCCTAAAAGTACCTCTTTTTGTGCTTTGGACTGGTGGTGGAACAATAGTATGAAATATAAGATATTATCTAAGATGGTCGCTGATAAACTAGTTATTTCAATCTCAACAATGACGTATGAGTCCACATTCAGCGTTGGAGGTAGAATTATAGATGAGTTTCGCTCTAAACTAAATGAAGAATCTGTTGAAGCTCTCATTTGTGGTGAGGACTGGTTCCTCCATAAGTATAACGTGAAGAAAAAAAATGAAAGGTTATATTATTTTATATTTGATATGGTATGTTATTAAGTAATATTTATTCATTTTTATCATATTTCATTCATTTATTTATATAGTAATTATATGTTTTTCTTTCTTTCTTTTTATTTTGAAGATTGAAAAAAAGGAGATACATATCACCTGGAAGATTCAATATCACTTTTGTTTGGATACTAGAATTGAAGAGTTTGTATTTAAGAAATTATTTTACTAAATACATAAGTTATTAACCTTTTTGGAATTTTGGTTTTTTTAACGTTCTATTAGAAACTTTGTAATGTTGAAGTTTGACATAGGTACTATTATCTTGCTATAATGGTATGATGATCTGCAATTTTGAAGTGTTGGGTTGCTTGTTTATCATGTCAACTATATTACTGTAATGTTATGTTTTGTTTTGCTTCTAATTACATGGTGGTGGACTTGTAATTTCAATTTGTTTTGTTTGGTACTCCAATCCGTTTCTTTATAAGTGTCATTTTTAGAATAATTTTTTGTTCTTTTTTAATTGTCACTTGTAAAGTTCAAGGTACTATTAAATATCTTTTTGTCAAAGTTATCCCTAGATAATTATTACAGAGAAAAAAAGTAAAATGAATGTAATATATAATTAAGGGTATTATAGGTAAAATGATAATTATTGTATGAAAAATAACAATATTGATTAGCTTTCTTGGTATGCGTAAAAAATCAAAAAGTGACACTTAAAAAGGAACGGATGGAGTATATCTTTCTTGATTAGCTTTTTTGGTATGCAGAAGACATTCTAATATTATGTAGGGATAAACCTTCTAACATTCAATCCCTGAAGAAGGTTTTTCATGACTACTTAGTGGCATATGGACAAAGCTTCAATTTGGAAAAATCCTTTATTTCCTCTGGTTCAGTAAATGATAGTCAGTTTGACAGGATTATTGCCACCACTGGTTTCAGTAAAGGATCTCTTCCTTTCACCTATCTAGATGTTCCTATTTTAAAAGGGCGTGCCAAATGCATTCACTTCACTCATATCACAGATGCAATTTTGGATAAGTTATCAGCTTGGAAGGGCACATTGCTTTCTATGGCAGGTAAACTTACTCTTGTTAAATTTATAATACAAAGTATGATATCTTATACTATCAGCATATATTCTTGGCATGTGGCATTGCTGAGGTAAATTGATTGGGCCTGTAGGAACTTTATATGGGAGGGAGACATCCATAAAAGGACTATATTTATGGTTTCCTGGAAGAAGACATGTCAGTCATTTCTTAATGGTAATTGTGGCCTTCATTTTCTAGTGAGATTAAATGAGACCACAAACCTCAAGCTTATGTGGAATTTGAGGACAAGTAAGGAGTCATGGGCTATCCTTTTTAAGAATAGAGTCATCAAAAGAAATGAAGTTATCAGATACCATATCTACTCAACAATTTGGACAAGTAACAAGTCTGAATATTATGTCCTTGTTAAAAAACACTTAGAAGGAGGGGGGGTTGAATATATGGGTTTTAAAAACAATTAGGATGATAGAAAAATAACACAGTATTTTTATCCTGGTTCGTTTGAACTCAAACTAATCCAGTCCACCCTACCAAGGTGATTTGCCTTTCTCAACAAGGACTTAATCCACTAAATCAAACTGATTACAGTGTTAACCACTAAGACAATTGTCTTCGTCTTCTCAAGAATTCTGACCACACTTGGTCTCTTAAGGAATCTTTTACAAAAATAAACTAACAAATGTGTTTAAGATGTGCTTCTAAAAAGCTATATCACAACAGTGATTTTTACACAAGTTTTAGAACGAAAATAAACTATTCAGCTTTTGAAGAAAGTTTATATGAGAGCTTGTTGAATAACTTGTCAAGAATTTGTTTCAAGTTCGTTGGTAGTTCGTTTCAAATTTGTTTTCCTTTGAAGTGATGCTGAGACTTGCTTTTATAGTACTTTGAAATCCATTTCTCAAAAACTGTGCAATCTGTGCATTCTGTTCTTTTTGTCTTCTATTGACTTTTCCTTTCTCAGAAGAAGAATGTTATGACAAATCCTTTTTGTCTGAAATCTTGTGTCATGCACGAATGGGGAAAGAGCCGTTTAGGATAAGGACAAGGAATATGCCAACGGATCTTTATTTGAACAGCATCTTCTTCAACAACTTTGGAACGTCTTGCATCAGAACTTCTAATGATGCTCTTAGTTGTTCATATCAGAGTTAACTCAATCAGAGTTTCTCTATCAGAGTTTCTCTATCAGAGTTTACAGCAAAGTGCTTTAAGCGTGAAATCCTTATCATATCATACTTGCTTATCAGAGCTTCTGTACTTCCAACGTTAAGTACTTCCAGAGTCTTCTGAAGCTTTACATATGTTCTTTACTCAGATTCTTCTCAGCTTCGCTCAGAGTCATTGTAGCAGATCAGAGTCTTTTGATGAGTTGCTTCTGACGCTCAGAGTTTTTTCGTTCTGTGGTGTTCAGAGCGTTCTTGCTTCCAGAATCATATAAATTTTGATATCTGAAACAAATAAACACTTGAACAAAAATTAGTGTATATAAATTCTCTATACAAAATTTCATTAATGTTTTCATCAAAACAATGAGATATATTGAACATCAATCTGTGTTCTAACAATCTCCCCCTTTTTGATGATGACAAAAAAAATGGGAAATTTTATTTAAATAGAAAATAAATATTACTCCCCCTGAGAATATTAATCTCCCCCTGAAATGAATACTTCTGAAAAGATTAAATACTTCCCTTTCATCTTCTGTATTCTTTTCAACATCAGAGGAAACTTGTAGATTCTCAGACTTTGGTTCAGAGTTAATTCTTAGAATTTTGTCAGATGATAATTATTAGCTCTGAAACACTTAAAAATATGATTAGATGATATTTATCATGTATGAGTTGCCTTTGGTAACTGTTTATGTGAATTATCAAAATTACCATTTTCTCCCCCTTTTTGTCATATCAAAAAAAACTTTAAGAAAAACTTTAAGACAGAAAAAAAACAGAGGAAAAACAATAAGGCATAAGATAAATTCAATCAGAAAAACATAACATCCAGATACATTGATAGACAAAATCCAAAAACAGAAACAATCAGATAACACAAAAGTGCACAAAACAACAAAGAAAACTAAGAATAACGAGAAGCCTAAATTCTCAAAAGATTCGTTATCTCAGATGTGGATTCGTCTTGTTTCGCCATCCATATCTTGATTTCCTCAGTTGTCTTTTCCTGCTTAACCATCCAAGATTTGATCTTAGTGTTGCTAGCCTTGAGTTCAGCAAGCTGAGCATGCAGATCTTCGTCTTCTTTCTTCACTTCAGATGACTCAGGAGCAGATGCAGAAGCAGATGCATCGTGAACAACCAAAGATGCAGAAGCATTCTGGACAATCATGT